GAAAACTTGACCTGATCGAGCAAAATTGCACATTTTTCTAAATTCAGCATGCAAAAATGGTAATAAGTTACCTAACAAAACCATAACCTCAGAAACGTCGCAGACCAGTGTTATCATTTAAAAACACGACTAATTAGTGTTGCTTCACTTATTAAAACTGGAACAATTATTTAAATTTAATCACACGTTAAAGTTAAAAGTAAAGTTTATAGGTGTTTAGTTAATTTTTATGCTAAGTAGTCCCATTTAGGTTTTAAAAAGTTTCCATGCTTTATTTATTTTTAATTTGTTTTTCGATTGATTTTACTGTTGTTGACCATGACTTGGTGTGTTTAGTGGTTTAATATTTTCAGCTAGGTTCAAAACAAAAAAGATTTGTAATGTCCAAAATATACAGAAATTTAAAAAATATTTTATAGCTTTTAATATTGCCACCCTATACAGGATGCACCAAGTACCCTACATGGTTAGTTAAATTAAAAAAAAGTTTCGCAATAACACACCTATTAAAATGAAATTTATAAATTGAGAAAAAAGCGAGCGGTTCTTAAAATATTTGAAATAAACTAAAAATCTTTTAAAACCAAAAATCGTTGTAGCTTCGTTATTCCTGGGAATAAAAAAAGTATGTTTTACATGTAAACATGTTCATCAAATTTCTTCGCTACTATATTAAAAATAGAGGAAAGTCGCCTATTATGGGGTACCAGTTTAATTTTTATCATTATTTTCTTTATTTAGTTTTCTTTATTTTTCAGTTTAGCAACGTTGGTTCTTTAATATGCTCTCTTAAAATGAAATAGTCAAAATTCTACTACTTGAATTAGTACCAGCATTTTTTACTAATAAAATAGTCGTTTTTACTTTTAAATAGTTATTTTTTACTAATTTAAGATAAGTATCATTTTTGAATTTTTCTGAGAGTTAAAAGTAAGTTATTTCTTTAATCGTTTGTGGCCAACAACAACTTATTGTTTGAGTTAAATGCATATATGCTCCATGGTTAAATGACTCATAAAAACAAACAAAGATGCAAACAGTTTAGCTCAAAAAAGCAACCCAAAAAATATATTCAACTTTATAATATTATGAGCAATATTTATAGACAAATAAAATTGAAATTATGAAAGTGACTGATGGCTTATTGGTTATGACATACGCTTGACAAGGTTGACAACCGACAGAAGAAAGTTTATCGATACACAGAACTGATTGACCCTTGCACTGTACGCTCGCCAGGAACGGCCCTGTTAGTACGCGTTCGGCAAATAGTAAACAATAAATTATTTTTGTTAAAACAGTAACAAATACCTATATTAGGGTGTCCCTTATTTTTATTTTTTTTACGCATACCCTCTAATTATATTTATTACGTGTTTATATACTCCCAGTAAAAATTTTAGCTCATTCTATAAACGGGAACCCGTGCCGACTTGCATCTGAACCCTCCGTTAGCCAACGTTAGGCGCGCGGTATTTTGTAACACGGTTGGTCGCGAGGTCTTCGATCGTAAGTCATTTTGTGTTTGTTATTATGTTACCCTTTTATTATAAATTATTGACAAATGTTAAAATATAGTTTTATTTATGTGTATACTTTGATAAAAATGTATATTTTCACAGAGAGTGGCTTGTTACCCGGAAGGGTCTGGTGAATAGGCCGTAAACTATGAAATTGATAAACTTAATGGGTTTTACTCTAAATAGCTAAAAGAGTCTATTGTGAGAGATGACTACCGAAAACTTATTGAACTGTCTGAAATATTTTTGGGAGGACATCAAGAAAAGATATGCTTATAAAAAGCTAAAATTTCATATAACAGTATATTTTAGCAATACTAATTAGTATATTAATATATTTAAGGGATAAAATCAACTAAATTAGTGAAACAAATGATAGAAACAAACGCAATAATATTAATTAGTAATCATATTTAATAAAATCATTAGAAAAATACAGTCATGAAGTATATCTTCTTTTTAAAGTGTTTCGTGTTACAAAATACCGCGCGCGCCTAACGTTGGCTAACGGAGGGTTTAGATGCAAGTCGGCACGGGTTCCCGTTTATATAATGAGCTGAAATTTTTACTGGGAGTATATAAACAAGTAATAAATATAATTAGAGGGTATGCGTAAATAAAATAAAAATAAGGGACACCCTAACCTATATGCACAAAATACATATTAACAATCCTACCCAGGACCTTGTATTTGAAAAAAAAATGTTTTAATAAGCACCAGCTAAAACTTATATCACCACTGAAACTTAACAAAAAAATGACAGAACAGCTCATCGGTACATGGCTTTAATATTAAGTAAAAATCCATACAAGCCCAGTAGTTGTGTTTTGTCCAATAAAACTTGGATGTATCTAGTTTGGTTGCAAAGATCCATACCTACCCCATATTAGAAATATACCCCATAATAGGCGACTTTTCTCTACCATCACCATCTTTTGCTTTTATAATGACCGCCATAGTTTAATACATCATTGGATTCCTTGATTTCTATCTAACAATTTAAAATTCCAATATGACGGCCATAGGAAAAACAAAAGTTGGTAGTAATTTAGAATCTAGTGGGCAAAAAAATCACATATTGAATGAAAACGTAGATAAAAGTGTATTTTTACATGTAAAACTCATATTTTTGTTTTCCAGTTTTCTTACTTTTTTGATAAAATAAAGCAGGTAGGTATATTATGTAATAATAATAATAATAATAATAATAATAATAATAATAATAATAATAATAATAATAATAATAATAATAATAATAATAATAATAATAATAATAATAATAATAATAATAATAATAATAATAATAATTATAATAATAATAATAATAATAAAAATAATAATAGAGAAGAAGGTGTAAATATGGAATACTATTTTGTTTTTACACTGCAATTTAAATTAATTTAATTAACACTGAGAAATAAAACTCAACATTTTATTTGAAGTGAACTTAACCAATTAAGAATAAGAATCTTTAGATAAACTAATTAAAAGTATGTCGCATTTTGAAAGCATATTCCATATTTACACCATCTCCTCTAATAATAGTAAATATTATTATTATAATTATTGCATTCTAAGTATGTTGCAGTCTACCCTTTAGTTGATCATTTCTCGCTATTTTTGTGTATTTGTTTTTTTTTCATTTGTCAAAAAGTTTAGGAATACCGTAAACCTTAATTTAGAATTTAATTAACGACAATCAACAATTTATGTAGATCTTATTAACTAATTTAGTTATTTACATAATATGGACTTTCAGATCAAACTTGTTTTGATTTCGTTTCCATATACGTATTTCTTTCATAAAATACACAAAATAATGCAATGGTATTTCAGATTTAACCTTTCGGTGTATCATATTTCACTTTTTTACAAAATTAAACATTATATTAAACTTTTAGGCATAGTTTACTATTACTGACACTTATAGTATTTGGCAGTTACCGAAGGCTACAAGGTAACAAAAAACCCATATGGTATAGATCAAGGTAACAATAATAAAAAAGAAAACGTTTAAGATTACAACCAGATAATTTTTTGTATTACCAACATGCACAATTAATAAGCTTTAATCAATTCCATTTAAAAACCCATCAATCATACAATTCGGAGTATGTCGCCATTTTCTTTCTGCGTAACAGTTGCGAATCGGGGAAAGTTGATTTTCAGAAGGCCAATGACAATGGAAAAGCGGGAAAGTGTAGCCAACGGCAGCTTCAGCACTTTCAGCTGAAAGCTACAATGTTTCAGGGAATACGGTCGTCCTATTGGGGAGAGGGTTTTATCCTATCAAAATTAAATGCCAGCGCAACTGTTTCGAGTTTAATTTGTCATGTTACTTTGTGAACTTATTAAAATCACTTTACCAGAAAAAAATGCATTTAGTAAAAATGTATGTTCAATACATATTTAATAAAAAGACGTGGGTCATGACAATAGAATAAAAATGGACAAGTTATGATTTTAAACTGAAATATATATATTTATATTTATATGGGAAAATAAAACCTATAGGTTTCATTTTCCCATAGTGTCTCTATTACTGTATAGGGTTCTTTTGTTGCAGAATCTGCATATTCTATGTAAAAACGGTTTACTAAATCTTTGTTTTCAAAACAGAAGATATCTCGAGCGCTTTAATATCAAATCCGGACTTGTTCATTTCAACCAATAGGATTTATTTTGTAGTCCGTTGTTTTTCAATAAAATTAGTTTTTATTATAATTACCTACTTGAGTTTCTTTAGTTTTAAAACAGGACAAGTCCAATTGTGCAAATGCGTTAAGTTAAGATTAATATCCTAATTAAATCCGTGAGTTCAAGAACAGTACAAGTCCAAAATTTAAAATTTTGACAAATTATTTTCTAAAATTATTTTTATACTTAGTTTAAAATGCATTTTTGTGATAATGTTTCAACTATTGTACAAAATATGTAGGTACACAAATAATATTTTAAATAATATTTTAATTTTAAAAAATACTTAAAATATTCTAAAAAACATGCATTTTAAACTAAAAAAATGATTTTTTAAAATTACTTTTACCGATTCAATTTTGGTGTAGGTATGTATTGCAGATTTTTGTATTAAATTAACAATGTATTAAAGTGAATTACTTTTTTAACTTATAAAAGTATTTTTATAATGGATTGTATGTAGGATTTTATGTGTTTAATAAAATTAAGAATATTGTATGTTCTTTGTGTAGAGTCACGCCACGAAAACCTAATTAATTCAGCCGGTGCGATGTTAATAAGATAATAAGCTTTAAAAGGTATATATCCATAATAATTGGGTCAATAATAATTTTGTTTGGTTGGCAAATCGATCAAATATAATTATGTGTTTTATATTGTGTGTATATTTTTATGTGTGTGTCTGTGCAGGACCGGGCCAGTGAAAGTAAAACAAAACATTCCCCCAATGTTAAACACCACTCCCCCAAACGTTTGATCTCGTATATAAACCAATTTGTTCGAAAATATCTTCACACTCAACTTAAGTGATCAAACATGGCATTCAAAGTAAGTCTAATACAAAAAAAACTTGTTACAAATACTAATCAATTATATTTTCAGTTCGTAGTATTTGCCGCTTTCGTGGCCGTAGCCCGTGCCGGTGGCTTGGTAGCCCCAGCTTACAGCAGCTATGCTGCTCCAGCTGTAGTATCCCACGGATACGCCGCCCCAGCTTACGCTCACGCCGCCCCAGTAGTAGCCAAATACTCTGCTGCTCCAGCTGTAGCCACCTCTTACTCTTCCATCGCCCACTCCGCTCCAGTAGTAGCCAAATACGCCGCCGCTCCAGTCTACACTCAATCCTACGCTGCCCCAGCTTACTCTCACGGATACGCCGCCCCCGCCGTAGCCACCTACGCCGCTCCAATCGCCAAAGTAGCATACGCTCCAGTCCAAAAGACCATCGTCGCTGAAGCTCCAGCCAACTACGACTTTGGTTACTCTGTAAACGACCCACACACCGGAGACAGCAAATCTGCCCAAGAAACCCGTCACGGAGACTCCGTACAAGGATCTTACTCCCTCATCGACGCTGATGGCACCAAGAGAACCGTAGAATACACCGCTGACGAACACAACGGATTCAACGCCGTAGTACACAAAGAACCAGCTCAAGTAGCCGTCAAAGCTATCCAAAAAGTAGCCGTAGCCGCTCCAGTAGCTCACTACGCTCATGCCGCTCCAGTAGCTCACTACGCTCAAGCCGCTCCAGTAGCTCACTACGCTCAGGCCGCTCCAGTAGCTCACTACGCTCACGCCGCTCCAGTAGCTCACTACGCTCACGCTGCTCCAGTAGTAGCCAAATACTCTGCCGCCCCAGCCGTAGCTACCTCCTACTCTTCCATTGCTCACGCCGCACCAGTAGCTCACTACGCCGCCGCCCCAGCCTACGCGCAATCCTACGCTGCCCCAGCCGCTCACTCTTACTACCACTAAGTCTTAACTTAGTTAGGCAATGTAATGAATGTCATAGGTTATTAATTTATTGAATAAATGTTATTCTTTTAAAATACAAATTTGTATAATTTACACATTTACAAAGAATTTTTATTAATTTTTGGAAAGTAAAACTTCTGTAGGTAATAACTAAAAAACACTTTAAATGATTTTTTAAAATTCTGCACCCTTTTTATTATTCTTAGTAACTACAATTTTTACATATCACGACTCGTTTGCAATAATTAGATGATTTTTTTTGACAGTTTTAAATTGTTTTCTCTTCACGATGAATATTTTCCAAAAATAATATTTGCAAAAACACTTGATTTTAAATAACTATTATTTAAACAATTTCAATTATTTATACCAGTCATACTCAAATTGCCGAAGCCTAGCCACAGTAATTTTTAGATAAAAAAAATGCCCACATAATGTTAAACAGTTTTTTTACAAAGTCTTGTAAGACAAAGAAGGGCAATCATTTTTCTGTAAAGGTGCGTACTGACTTGCAACAAATTACTCCAAACGAACCAAACGCGCCGCGCGCGCTGCAACAAATTGCGCTGGTGAGCAGTGCTGTCAGATGGTTTTTTCCTTAAGCGGTAGATGGTACCACTAAAAAACGGTAGAGAGCGGTAGATTGTTCAAAATTAAATTTTTTATCAGAATTCAAAAAGAATAGCGTAATAAATTGCAAGAAATAAAACACATAAAATACAAGAATCATTTATTTTATTTTTCTTTTGAGCAGGCGAGTCGTACTTGTACTTTCTCTGTCAGTTGCTTCGACTGAATTAGATGTTGGACTTAAAATAAAAGCAGTAGTAAAGTTATAGCTTATAAAACTGAAAATATTCATACCTCATTTTAAATTATGTCCTAAATAAAAACTATCAAGAACACACAAAAACGTCATACGCTTGAGCACTGCTATAATTATATTTTATGAGTGTTAAAATCTAATCTATGGATTAAAGAGGAGAAATGTGTAATCTGTAAAGCGGTAAAGTCCCAATCGCACAGCCCACATTAAAGCGCCATCTCGGAAGATATAATTTTACTAGTGTACATTCCGAACTAGAAGTTATAACTGTATACAGTTTTCTTTTCAATATATTGAAATATCTATAGATAAATAAATAAATTGTCCATGCTAATTTTTAAATTTAGTTAGTCTATGCCTTGTACGATTTTCAAAAATTTCAAGGAAAAGACGGTAGAATACAGTGGCTAAGCGGTAGAGCGGTATTTCATCGGAGGAAAACGGTAGATCTACAGTTTAAACGGTAGATCTACAGTTTAAACGGTAGGTCTGGCAGCACTGCTGGTGAGTACGTCGCGCCGAACAGAACGGAACGCCAAACTTTTTCGGATGATTGTCGGTAAATCGGATTAGCGCAAAGGGATTTACGCCGAATTAGTCTTTCGCCAGTTCTCAGTGGAAACGTTGCCGGTTTTAATTATTTATTTTTATTGATTGTAAAATAATCCTATTTGCTATAATAATAAAATCATCCTATTTGCTATGGTTATATATTTTTTCCTGAAATGAAAAACAGATTATTTCTTTTATACAGGGTGTTTCATAATATATGCGCAGGACTTCAGGATGTGATAACTCATCCAAAAAGATGAAAAAAGTCGCTAATAACTTACGCTCTAAAATGCACAATTTTCGAGATACAGGGTGTTGAAATTTTAGAAAAAAAATCGTTTTTTTCGAATATCTCCGTTTATCGTACAAAAAACAGCTTTTGTAAGCATTTTCTACTCAAAATAAGCTATGTTTTGTGCCAGAAAAAAAAATGTTTCCTCATAATTGGTGGAGATTTTGAAGGGGTAGCGGGTGTTTTTCTCCTCAACTTCTAGGCCCCTGAAAAATGTACGGTTTTGAGAGGCCTATTCGAACCGCCAATGTTTTCTACACAAAAAAGGTACTCTTGGTCATAAGCTCTAAAGTTGACGGTTTTCGAGAAAAATCAACTTTTATGTTTAAAAACATGGTCAATTTAAAAAAATATATATATTTTTTTACTAATTAAACAAAATTTATTTTAACGTTAGAACAAGTAACAAAACCAAACCATAATTGCAAAATTGGCGGTTCGAATGGGCCTCTCAAAACCGTACTTTTTTCAGGGGCGTTGAAGTTGAGGAGAAAAACACCCGCTACCCCTTCAAAATCTCCACCAATTATGAGTAAAAAAAAATTTTTTCTGGCACAAAACATAGCTTATTATGAGTAGAAAATGCTTACAAAAGCTGTTTTTTGTACGACAAACGGTTCCAGAGATAATCGATAAAAACGATTTTTTTTCTAAAATTTCAACACCCTGTATCTCGAAAATTGTGCATATTAGAGGGTAAGTTAATAGCGACTTTTTTCATCTTTTTGGATGAGCTATCACATCCTGAAGTCCTGCGCATATATTATGAAACACCCTGTATATACTATACTATACTATAGTATTTTTATTTGAACCTTTAAGTTTTGTTCCCTTATATACCAAAAATGATATCCGTCAAATGGGCACCTCCAGAGTACACATAATTGAGCTCTTTTTATCGTATTATTCATGACTTTTGTCAATATTTCTCACCAGAAATATTGGTAAAAGTCTATTTTTGTCTATTTCCTGACGGATGTTGTTCTTTAAGGCTTCAATGGTCTGTGGCACAAATAATATTGACGTCTGGCAATGCGTCGAATCGTTTGTCCAGTTGGAGCTGGATGCAGGGAAAATCTGCGTCGAAATTCGCGTTGCCTTAAAATAACTGATGAAATATTCTTCAAAAACATTGTTACAATTTTTCCACGTTCTTGAGAAGTATAGGGCTCCATTACTTATTTTTGTAAATTTTACTTTTTTACTCAACACAAACGTAAACGTCACGCTGACAGAAGACGCAATTTTAAAAATTTGTAGTCGCCTCCGATAGAGTGATACATTTTGGCCCACCTTGTACATATGTAAGTACTTTGATTCTTAAGTCTTAAAATAAGTGCATAGCAGGTTTCTATAAATATAAAACTGATTGTTTCAAAATTTTAAATAAATATTGTAAACTTGTATAAGACTCTCCTGTAGCTAAAAAGCGTAGAGTAATTATTACTATTATTATTATTATTATAGCTAAACGATCTTCAACAGGTATTGCCTTTCGAAGTGGTGTATCTTCCTTTGCAATTTTAGGACCCACAAGACATATAACATTCTCAAAATATTTGCAGACATTTCTATTTTCCAATTCTTATTCTTTTCTAATATTATAAATGCGAAAGTTTGTTTATACATTGTATAATATAAAGGGTTTCCAATTTGACCTTCTGATTTAATTTAATAATAAAAAACAAAAAACTATTGATATAGGTACCTATAATGATTTTATGATTTTATTTTTAAGTTTAAATGTTGTGGTTATTAATGAAAAATGAATCCGGCAAGTGACCCCCTCTACTTCTTTGGCATACTAACATTCTATTTCCAAAATGTTCGATAACCTTTGCGCAGATATTCTGTTCAATTTTTCTAATTTGTTAAATAATGTTAACTCGAAGCTGTTCAGGTGTTTGAGGATTGTTAGCATAAACTCTTTCCTTCAAAAAGCCCCACAATAAATAATATAAAGGTGTGAGATCGCACGACCTAGGCGGCCAATTAAATTCAGATCTTCGAGAAATTATTCGATTGCCAAATCTCTCCCTCAAAAAATTCAATGTTTCATCCGATGTATGGCAAGTGGCACCATCTTGCTGGAACCAAATGTTCTGGATATTCATATTTTCTAATTCGTTTCACAAATAGTCTCTTATTATTGTTCTATTTCAATCTCCATTTACAGTAATTGCATTACCAGCTTCATTCTAAAAAAATAAGGATCAATAACGCCACCTGACCAAAAACCACACCACAGTTTTACTTTTGAATTTTCCTCACCCCATATTCTGCAATTCTGTTTGTTTACGTATCCACCAATTTCGAAATGAGCATCATTGCTAAAAATAATGTTTTGGAAAAAATCGTTATTTTCTTGCCTTTTTTCTAATGCCCAATTAACAAACATAATGTTTTAACTCTTAAGTCAACTGTACCTTATAAGCTTTTAAATAAAGGTCTTTCTTTAAAATGTTATGCAGACTTGATCTTTTAATGTTGACTTGCTGTGAACGATTTTGAACTGACATTTTCGGGCTTTCACCAATACTAGCCCTTACCGCAGCAATGTTTTCTTCTTATCGGACATCTCCAATGTGAAGTTTTTAGAATAAAAACGCATTCTTCGATGAACAGTTGCTCAATGTTGACCCAGAAACTACTAACCGCAAAGTTTTTACTTGAGATATTTCATAGAAAAAATGAAGATTACTAGATATGGCAGTTAATTTATATCGGAAGGTCAAATTTGGACACCCTTTACAACCCCAGAGGAGCCTCTGTGTTGTACAGCCACTGTGTTGTACAGCTCTTCTTGAACAGCTTTTCTCTGTGTTGTACAGACTTTTTTACGCAGCAACAGAATGACGTGATTTTTTGGATAGAGATAGTTTATGGTTCGGAGACTTACATAGGTAATTTTTTTATTCATTTTAATTATATTTTTCAAGGTACTGAGCATACTTTTAACCCGAAAAAATGCACGGTTCCTGTGGGATTTCAAATTGGGTAAAAAAATGCATAACGCAACAAGTATTACATCCATGTTTAATCTGCGTTGCCGACATTAAAAACCCCTTAATTTTTCTAAAAAACTGTGTGTGCAATTAAGTTAAGACAAGATAAACCTTATTTTTTAATGTTAAAAAGGCAAGAAGTCATTACACACAAAAAATTGGGTAAAATGTTTCCAAGTCCCATCCTGTTTGGGACACCCCTGACCAAAATTTCAAATTTATTTTATTTACAGTAAGTTTTGCATGAAATGTTAGATATTTATTTTAAATTTTTATCTTTTATCTCCCCAGATTTTAAATATATTTAGAAAAAAACTTTTTAGGGACGGACTTTTAAGGGGGTCTAGCTCGTTTTTGTTAACATATATATAATTTTATAAAATATTTTTTTGTTATTTTAAGAAGTTTT